AAGCAACCTACTTGGCGTGAAGTGGGTTTGCTTTACTTTCGTAGTTTAACAGAACATGTATTACCAGCCTTACACTGTTGAACACAATACGAATGAACTGGATCCAAGACTACTAGATAATGTAACTCTGTTTAATGTGTATTTAATTCTATGTGAGTTTTAGAAACCACATGTGAATTGATATGCGCACATCACATCAGTGTACCTGAACAGATGCCAAAGCCTCCAACAGACATTTTGTGGCATTTGAAATAGGACATGATAATGGGATAAACATTGCTTACAATACGTGAGGTTTTCGGTTTTCACGGCGGTCGTCATTTAGTAACTACCTACAAGAATACAAGATGTCATACCGCAGAATATCTCACCCCCAAAAATAGTTAATTTTGTTGTAAAAATCCAGCCAATATGCCCTATACTGAACCCCTTAGTTCTTTAAAGTCCGTTTTAATATTACCGTCACTGTAAGTGGCGCTTCCTCAGGATGTAGGTGGTGGAGAAGTTCTCCAGGTACTAAGGTGCCAGCAAAAAGAGTGAAGAAGCAGTCGCAGACAGCCGACAAGGGACGAAGTTTGTAGATTGGTATCAGTTGGCTCAGTATAGGAACCAGTGGTGGGCTCTTGTGAACATGGTAATCAGCCTTTGTCTTTAAAGAAAAGCCTGGGAATTTGACTAGCTGATCATACTGGTAGTGTCTCAAGAACGACTCTGCTTCGTGGAGTGAGTTATTCTGTTCAATGTTATTCTCCCATCTACCACTACGTCTCCCAAGCGGTCCATTTATTCTTGTATTCTAAATAAAATTTTGTATAAATTCTAAGTCTCTAATACTTCTACATCTCCTTCCCAGTTCATCGCCATTGATTTCATTACTCTACTGATATTTGGTGAAGAGGACAAATTATGAAGCTCTTCATTATGTAGTTTACTCCATTCTCCTGTTACTTCCTCTCTTTTAAGTCCAGATTTTTTATAAGTGCTTTGTTCTCAAATATTCTCAATTTATGTTTTCTGTTTAACGTGAGAAAACCAACTTTGTTTTGTTTTCTGCTATTGTATACAGTACGTCTGTGCTTTCGGCTTCACGTCATGCACCGCTGCTAGAGAAGTTGCCGCACATTCCAGGGGACGAATTAGCAAGGGTCGTTGCAGCCACTTGTAGAATACGGTATTATAAATAAATGCAAGACTGGAGTCATTTCTAGTCGACAAGGTTCAGATCAAGTCAACAATTCATACAAATGTGCGTTTATTTCATGTGCTAAATCTGTCATTCCTCGTAATGAAAGTTGTAATTACGAAAGTTATTTTTATGATTCAGTCTTATTTCTGTCACAGTGCATCTGCTTTACAAGATCACAGACGAAACGAATACTGTAATTCCATTGCAAGTACCAACGCTTCCGTTATTCTTTATATTATTTTTATCAGTTTAACGCTTTAACTTTTATTAATTGTTATCCCATTTTGCCACCGAGTTAGTCCATTAAGCCATCGCCATATATAATATCAAAATTAATGAGCAGTTTGTATAAATTCTTTGTATGTTACGGCTGAGTCCCAGGTAGAAACAAAGGTTTACTCCGAGTGTCATGAGGCTGCAGGGTTAAATGTGTTTGTAGTCTATTATCTTTGCGTTGGAAATATAGAGGTTATAACCATTTCAATGCCTACTTCCCACCTACCTGTTTATCATAAGTCTATCACCAGGACTCTTTCGTAAGACTGCCAATAGCAAATTAAACGAATGTGTAAATATTTCTCAAGCGCAAAAAAAACCCTTTGTCCTATGGATTTGAAGTTCTTATTAGTAAAAACAAAATGTTAGTTCCAAAAACTTCGGCGATGTATTTTTGAAAATCTGCTTTTGCTTCTAAATGACACCGAAAACAAAAGGAACAAACGAGGTGAAACTACAGAATATGAACTCGTTTCTGCCGGTCTTGAATTCCAAGATTCTCCTTTGTCAAATCAAAACTGATCGCAAACAACTCAACTGGCTCCACTAAATACAAGAATTCGGAGGCGGGTAGCGTTATGGACAACTATAAATATATACGAATATGTCCAAATGAGTATAAATTGTTTGATCAACGAATTATTGTGAGGAAATAGCTTAAAACCTAACTGAATGTAATGGAAAAACAGAAGGTGCCAAGTGAAATAGTTCACTTACTGACCCAACCCCAGGGCACCCGCACAGTCGGTGCCCATTTCTGGTAAAATTCATAAACATTATTATTATTATGAATCGTTTGGTTGGCCCACAAACAGCAAAAAACTTCGGGATTATTATTGTTACCCGATATAAATAACATCAACCCAACCTAACCTAACAATTCAGAGTAAGAAGACAAAAATAATGAGATCTTTACATCACGCAGCTTCAAGAACAAACAAATATAGGCCGACCTAAGAAGAGAAAGGGAATATAAAACATCAGTTACTCACATGTCACGTACAATTCTAGTATCCCTTCCATTGCTAGCACGTATACACACACACGCAGAACACTGAATCACTCAAACTTGCTACCCCGGGGTTACACACCACAGCTCGTACTACACCCCACTGAACGCCGAGTACATGTACTGTTCGTTTAGACTGTGGAGGCATCTGGCCTGTACGAGAGCGGAGGTAATAGAGTAAGATAAAACGGTGAAATAAGTCGATAGTAAGAGAGCGATCGTGGTAGCACAGCTATTGTGCACTCACGAAACTTTCTCCACGACGCTTATTAAAATCATTGAAAACTTCAGCTGCCATGCAACTAGATTTCTGACCTTTCTTGAATGGCTGTCCACAATTTTTATCTTATTGTTCGTCTATTACAGGTGACATGATGAAGACGGGAGATTTCTCGTTTTCACGGCAAGTATTGAGATATGTCTTCTGGGAAGATGTGCCATGTAGTCTGGTACATAATGACCAGATTACAATTTCACCCCCCCCCCCCCC